AAAATGAGAAGCTGATACCAAGGGCTCAAGTAGAAAGAAAGTGTTTTGAAAATGATGATGGCAACAAATGTGCAAATATGCTTGACACGATGGATGGATGGAAGGATGGATTGTGGTAATAGTTGTACAATCCCCCAATAAAATGATTAAAAATAAGAAGAAGAAGGGAAAGAAAAAGAAGCTAAACTTGACCTAGAATTAAAATGGGTGAAGGAGAAAGATTTTTTGCTTAAGGGACATTAAGATTTTTTCAATGGTGGTGGAAAATTTTGCAGAGGGATATCAATAATGGTTGTACAACAGGAAGAGTATAATCAATGGCACTGAATTATACATGAAGAAGTTGTTGAATTAGAGAATGTTTTGTGGTGTATATTTTTGCCACAATCAGAAAAAATAATTACATGAATAACAGTGAGTACAAGGAAGAAGAAAATGTTCTAAAATTGATTGTGGTAACGATTGTACAACTCTTGATATGTTTAAACTATTGGATCATATGATTTATAAATGAAGTGCCAAAAGAAACTGTTAAAAAGTAACGTTTTTGAGTATCAGGAAAGGTGTGTGTCGGAGCTGTGTCCTTTACCATACTTATTCAGTCTGCATGCCCAGCAATAACCTGAGAAACTGGACTTTTGAAGAATATAGTATCAGGATTGAAGGAAGTGCATGCATAGCCTAGGAAAAGATGGCAAAACCTAGCTTGCTGAAAGTGAAGAGGATTTGAGGCATTTGCTAATGACAATCAAAGAATACAACTTTCTATATGGATTAGAACTTAATGTAAAGAAAACAAAAATCTTTATAATTAGACCAATAGAATCATGATAAACAGAAAAAAAGTTGAACTTGTCAAGAATTTCATTTTACTTGGATTTTCTATCACTCATGGAAGCAGCAGTTAAGAAATCAAATTGTTAACTGAAAGCAAATGATGCATTACATTGAACAAACCTACTGAACAAAAACCTCTTTAAAGTGTTAAAGACTAAAGATGTCACTTTGAAGACTAAAATACACCTGACCTAAGCCATGGTATTGTCAGTAGTCTCATATGCATGTGCATTCTGGACAATGAGGAAGACTGAAGAAGAATTATGCATTTGAAAGGATGGTGTTGGGAAAAAATACTGACAGTATCCTGGGCTGCCCCCAAACAAACAAACCTGTCTCAGAAGAAGTACAGCCAGAATGCTCCTTAGCAGCAAGGATGGTGAAACTTCAGCTCATATACTTTGTATACATTATCAGGAAAGACCAATTCCTGAAAAAGGATATCATGCTTGGTAAAGTAGAGGGTCGTGGAAAAAAAGAGGACGACCCTCGACATGATAGATTGATACTGTGGTTACAAGGCTGGGCTCCAATTTAGCAGTGACTATGAGGAAAGCACAGGATTGGAAAGTGTTTCTTTATTTTGTACTTCCAGTCGCTATGAGTTGGTACTGACCTGATGGCACCTAGCCAGAAATAAACAGCCAATGTGATCAATGCCGTGAGGCATCCAGCAGTCTGAACTCTTAGAGTCTGTAAGTCTTTCAGCCAGTTGTAAATCAACCTAACGATGCTGTCAGACGGTCTACATTTCTCAGCCTTGCACATAAGGATATCAGGTTTCCTTCCTAAGTGCTTGCAAACATCTATTTAATGTTTCCTCCTAGGCTTTGCCAGGGATCGATATCAAGCTCTTTTGAAAAGGTATTATATCCATATGTGTTCTAAAGAAACAGTGGTTGTTAACAACCCAAACACTGAAAACAAAGATGTATTGTTTCCTAAAAGGTTCCAGGAGGACAGTGAGAAAGTGAGAATCCTCTGTGCTTAAATGCAATTGTCAGACTCCAGATATTGATTTTTCCCTGTGTAATGACTCAGAAAATGGACCAGAAAATGCAACTGTTCATTGAGTTTGCCTTTGATCATTGTATTAAAGTCACTTTCCTATAGTGTTAAGACTAAATTAGAACCACTTTATACTTACTATCTAAAGATTTTTAACACAGAGACATTTGGTTATTTCATTAAAAGAAGCCATATTCTCAAGGGGGGGGGAAATGTTTTTAAGTATTAAAGCATTTCATAGAGTTCAGCAAGAAATCTAAAGTGA